GCGTGCAAGTCCACCTTGCTGCCCGATCTGCAATAATTTGCGCACGTCAAAGGTAGTAGTAGCGAAGCTGGCAGACTTCGGAGCTGGCAACTCGGTCGGGAATTGTGTGGTTGTGGGGACGGAGGGTAAAGGAACAATTTCATCTGTGAAGGTAGGGTTGTTCAACGTTGTAGAATCAAGTAACCATGGAAGTGAACGATGTAGTTGAAGGATGGGAAAATTGGTGGCGTGCGTTTGTAAGGTTGGCATATGAGTATGGCAACGGTTTATCATGAGAGCGGAAAAGATTGGACGTAGTTGTGGGGTTCTACGGTTCGTCAGTAGACCAGATACTACCCGGTTGCCTAGGTAGATCGATAGTGTCTCAAAGCTTGTTCATTTAGTGTAGTGTCTGCCTCCGATAGTTAAATGATATTTAGGCAAAGTTCAAGAATATGTATGATGTTTACGGACAAGTTCTTCAAATCTGCAATAAACTGGAAGCGATATTTCTTTTTAGTCGTTTTTACTGAACAGTTACTGTTTACTGTGCTCTCCTGCTTACCTGAGTTTACGGGCTCACATTCGCCGTTTGCTCACTCGGTGCCCCGTCTATTGTGCATCTGCGGCGGCTGAAGTCACGCTACACTTCGTTTTTGTTGAACTAAACGAATTCCGAATTTCTCATCTGACCCACGCAAGTATCACTACATGCTGTGTGTGGTGTCTGTTTAGGTTTTGTCCGCGCACTCCGAGGCAGTTTCATTTACCCAATCCATCAAGCACCACAGCATTCTGTACCATCAACTTAGGTTCACTTACGCATGTGTACTCTACACTAACTGTTGGCTGCGCGAATCCGATCCTCCTCCTCGTTGGAATCCCAGCCGTATTTCGTTCATGACAATCAGTCCCAAATGGTTCACCTGGCCCACGCAATTATCCTCAGTACACGTAGGTGGCACCCCAGTAAATGTCTGCCCGCATCAATGCTGTTCACCAAATTTATCATCCAACCCCGCCATTAGCATATTAGTTTACGACGTAAAGTCATTTGCAGCTGCTTTTTACACAGAAATACTCCGCTAGGCCGCTAGTTTAATGAGTTGAGCGAAAACGAATCGTGCGTTTTATTTTCTCGATTTACCGACGTTTGTTACTTTATGGACGATTTACATTACGTGACACACAAGCAAGAGATGACAGACTACCGTGGCTGTATTCATATTCTACGCTAATGCTGACTTGCCACCCCAAAAAAGAACACGGCCCAAAATTGACGGTGAGCTGGCCTTGCAGCGCACAATGTTTACTTAACTCCGTACGCAATTCACAACCAGCGCGACGTTTTTACGTAGTCGCAGCGATGCAATGTCGCTCATCTATCGCACCACGAGACATTTCCCTAAAGGTAACTATTTTAATTGCCGCATCATCGGAAATGTCTATTTCCGGTCCAAGTTTCCTGCAGACTGAACAGCCTTGACATTATGACAGCAGATTATAGGTTCCCTTGAGTCGATGCGGATCATCAATTGTCTCTAGCAATCGGGCACCTTTGTTGACCTTGGTGAATTGAAGCTTTGATAATGAACCAGACAGCTTCCCCCCCACTGCCCTTTCTACAAACATGTTGCAGCTTGCCAGATGCGGGCTTAGCTGTTTTATTCATTAAAGGATTATGCACTAGGAGTGTGTTTAAAACACAGATCACCGGTTGCATTCCCCATATTGATATAGGGTTGAAGTAGATCGAACGAAAGACACATTCGATAATGAGTTCATTATCAGTGACACCACTCATCCACTCGTAAACATCCCAAAAACGGGTCTCTGGTTTTTTATGAAGCAGAAGCAGACTTATGCCAGCGTCATAATTTGCATAGCGTGCATTAGCCACACTCTTGCTCTTTCCCTGATGAAAAGTATCACCCTAAACGGAAACAGCCAGCCGCATCATGTACTCCTCCGAGGTTCAAAATGAAGCGAATTAAAATACTTCCTTTTTGTGCAACTGAGTCAATGATATTCTACGCCTGAATCGTTAGACCAGCGAAGCCCTGTTTCTCTTCCTAGCTTTTGTTATCTGTCTTATTTCGTCGGCTTGAACTCATTAATCAGTGTAACCTGTACGCCAGATAGAACATAGTGGGTTGAGAAGGAACATCTTTTTCACCACACATCGCCACCGTAAATGTGAACCAACATGAGATAAAATGAAACGAAAAAAACTACGGTTAACCATTGTCTTTATATTCTTGCCCTCCTTCAGTAATTGTGCAAGTAAGGCTCTCTAAAATGTAAACGAATGTGACGTTAATGCAACGATTCGAATTCGGTCGCGCGCCAAAACTGTTTCGTTCCGTCGCTACAGCCAGCGCTCTCCGTAAAACGCCACTGCTGGGACCAGTCCCCATTTACCGTGTGTGGAACTGCCTACAGCTTCTTTCGTGCTACACCCAACCTAGTTTACACTGTCCGTACGGCCTGCGTAGTTATCATCATCTAGTATAGATGGCTGTTTGTCGGCTTTCAATCCACTTGCTACAATCCGTTCAGTTCACTCAGTCAATTTCCACAGTCACACTTTAAAGTAACTAGTCTTCCACGACCTGAATACTTTTCCCGGCACCGTTGATAACAAACGTTTATCATCCTGTCTAGCATTGTAGGGTACGAAGGTGGGCATACCTCGATTGTGAATTCCATTCATAGCTCCTATTGCCTTTCTGTATTTGCAAGAGCTGCACGCAGTTGTATTGTGTTTGGGAACCGCTATTCAGTACCATTATACAACCGAGACTGTAGCTGGCGTTTCGTCTTGCTGTGAGCATATGTTATTCGAAATTACTCACTTCATTTCTTAGTCTAGGTTACATGAAACGGAAGTCTAGTCAGACGAACGGCTGACTAACTTAGGGTGCTGTAAGTTAATTTCCGGCCGTTGTGCAAGCGCTTCTTGTACATGTGCCTTGTTTTACGTCTTCCACCTTACTGGGGCAAGGAAAGTCGGATCCGAGAAAAGCTGACTGGTTTCGTTATGAGAAAGAGGCATGTAGCTTAGGCTTTTACCCGGCTGCAGGTGTTAGAGCAGCGTCACGCTTTCCCCAGGCCAAATATTTCTGTGTTCCTCGACTTCAAAACTGTAGTTGACACAGCCGTTCATTCTGATCCGTCTGAGGTACCGGTCCATTGTTTGTTCTCAAAAAATCGATAAACATATGCATGTAGTTTATCTCGGTCACACCTCAGCCCAGCAGGCTGGATATACTGGAACCAAAGCAACGCGGATGTAGATCACGCTGTCAACCGACCGCAGCGATCTTAAAGACAATGTCCGTCAAACACATAAGAATGCGATGCTAATACAAGAAGACAAAGAATTTCCATCTCCTTATGCACATCAATGAAACCATGATACAATAGAGAAATAAACAGTCTTCGGTGAAGTCAGCACAGGTGACAATCGCGGTCTTAAGCACAAACCCGTCAGAATCGCTCACTAATTTACTAAAGCGTTGAGGCTCTTGTAATGTGACACTCATCACGTCGCTTGTGCTACCGAATAAAATAGTGGTTACCGAGCAAGAAGATTCTAAACGTGTATTTTTGCAACTGCTTCACTGATGCTAGTATGACACCTATAGCTCACGTACTTAAACTTACGGAAGATGAACTATCCAGCATTACCTTTGATCTGCGCACGATCACTAAGGTGATATTTTCAAGCAAGCTGACCCACTACCCTGGCTCCGATGGCTTACCTTCTGTAGTCCCAAAGCTAGGTGGTCCCAACATTCCCTTCATACTCCTGAACATTCTCACCCTAACAATGAGGATCAGTACCATCCTTGCCGCTTGGAAGTATGCGGCTTTTCTACCGAGACCCAAAGGTGGATGTCGCCAGAATATTGACAACTACCTTTCAATCAGCCACCCTCCTATTGCGTCACGAGTGATAGAGAGGATGGTAAAAGAACGACTTCTTGAATTTCGATTGTTGCGCAGCCTTATTAATAAGTCCCAACATGGCTTTTTTTACCTGACAAGTCCTGTCAGACGTGTCAATTCGAGTTTCCAGATCTTGTCACAAAAGAAATTGATTCAGGCCATGGACTTGTCGTTGTCTTTCTTGATATGAAAAAGCTTTTAACCAAGGTGCGAACGCTGGTCTGTTGACTAAACTCCAGTCATTCGGTATATCACTTCAGCTACTGTCATGGTTTACTCCTATTTTACTATGTGTACACAGATGATACAGCTGGATAGAGCAGAATCACAGTATAGGCGCGTCACTAGTGGCGTCTTCCAAGGCAGTGTTCTAGACCCACTACTATTCCATTTGTACGTTGACGACATATTTGATTGCTTCATCTACGGAAGACCATTCCTATTTGCAGATGATATTAAAGTTGTTTCCGCTCTTGATGCGAATGGAACAGGAACTAGCGTGCCCCATATTCAGAGTGATCTTTCTACGTTAAGTCGGGGGGGGGGGGGGCGAGAGCACTGGAAAACGAAATTCTGACAAGCTAATTACAACGCTATCTCCTATCGTTGTTGTCTTCTGTCCGATGCATTAAGGATAAACGGATCACTAATTGCCAATTGAAATCTTAAGGGCACATACTTTTCGGCATTAGGACCCCTCGCTTCATAAAACTTTGTTGCTATGCACGATCGAACGAAATTTGGATACTTTGTTGTTGCACCTAAGTTTTAAACAGAATGTCAATTTTCGATACGTCATTAACTAACTTTGCAAAAGAACTAACCACGGTAGCTATTTGCTAAAGTCGCTTCCTGATGAACAAAAGACTTTTGAACCGAACAAGTTACACACTGATTTTGAAACACTGGAAACTGTTACATAGCCGGCAAACAGAGACATGTTTAACACAGTCGGTTTTAGTTGTGCTGGCACAGTGCGCCACTGGCAATAACCCACAGACAACAGTTTTGCGCAGCGCCTTTTTCAACACGAGCACAATAAAAGTACATCCAATTTGACTTTCTTTTGCATGGTTTTTCAGTCATGTGTCAGAGCCTGTGAACTCATAGGGTACATACTGGAAAAGGACCAGAACTTCGCGGAGGCTGCACGTAATTACGAGCAAGCGTGGAGAGTGGGGAACAGACAAAATCCGAAAATTGGTAAGTTCTATTCACAAATCATACAACGATAAGCTTTAAATCGATGATGGAAATGAAAGGAATTATACAACTACCATCTGTCATGAGTTTCATCGTAGACCTCACATCGTCGACGCATTTTAAATGGGTTCAGTTTTGTTTGCGCTAACGTAATATAGATTTTTAGTGAATACGCTTCATTTGTACATAACTTTGAACACCATACCAAACTAGGTGGAAATGGGCTCAACCGCGGGTTGACATGAGTTTGAAATGTGTCTGCTGGAATCTTAGTGCGACAGCCAAATAATGGAAAACCAGGAGCAAAATTACGAGGCCCAGAATGTCTCGTAGCGTAGTCAAAAATGCTCTTTTGAAACACTATTTATGACAGCAGTAGGCTTGTAAGCGACAATTCGCTTTGAAGGGCCTTGAGCCAACGCGTATCCAGCCAGTCAAAGAACAAGAACACTGGACAAGATGACGGTACTATTAACGAACAATCAGGAAGCAATAATAATACAAACCTCAATAGTAGCGCTTCCACTCAACGCAGTTTCAAAAGAAATACAATTCGGTCCGAGCCCAACAAGAAAGGGTTTCAAATCGTCAATGCGATACAGAATACAGAACACTGGTTATATAGGACAAGTGAAGTTCATACGATTGGTAAAACACAGACCGGATGAAGGCCGGATGCATGAAATGAGTGTGAAGAATGATAAGCACATTGTTCGTAATCAGTGCGAGAAAGCATGTAAACGCCTGTAGCGAGGGCACGTGCGAAGATAATTGAGGTGAAGTTCGTGCTGATAACGCGAAGAGAAATGAGGTGAAGGTCGCGCTTATAACGCGAAAGTTGCGGTGATAATGGCGAAGATAATTGGGATGATAATTGCGCTCGGAGTAGTCCACACTTGATGGTTGGCAGATGGCTGAGTTGAACACAAAGCATCGAGAATCCTTCTACAAGGCTCCAACATTTTCCCCGTTATGGAAGGAAATTTGAACCAGCCACCTCCTTGCTCACCCTTAGAGATTAAACAAATAAATGGAATAATTTTGACAACGCCAGGCATGCATAGTCGTGCAAACGTCACCAGTTAAACGGTTAAACCGAATTCATGTTGCATGAATTTATATATATATATATATATATATATATATATATATATATATATATATATATATATATATATATATATATGAAGGTGTGTACGTTTGCTTGCGTTTTGGGTATTCTTGAATTTTCAGCGGTTAGATGCTGATTGAGCTCCCCGGTGCGGTTGCGCCTAATATGAATTTTGTGAGGGTGTCTACTACCCACCACCTCCTCTATATTGTCTCCAGGAAATAGTTGGTCGTTGCTGGAGGGAACGGGGTGCACCTTCCTCGTGACAGCGCTAGGTTCAATGAGTTTTTCATCCTGTGTGGAATGGGCTACGGCCCAGAAGCAATGCTTCTATTCTGTTTATTGAAGGAGTGCAGGCCGGCTCCGTTTACGAAATGTGGCTCCCATCTGCATGCCTCCCGGTCTTATTCCTTCCGGTTTACACTGGATATGGGGTGTGTGGCTGGAACTGTGGGTGGTGAAGTGCAAGCTACCCATGGTCCCTCTGTAGACGCAGGCGTCCTGTGGCTGTCCTCGTGGATGACACAATGACATCAAATCCGGACACGAATGCCACCAATCCATGTGTATGTGGAGCTTTGTTTGTGTTTGTAAATGTACTACTGTATTTGTGATTGTGTTCTGTCAGATCATCAGAATGTGAAAGTGTCAAAGCTAATACTGAAACTAGATGAATGTCCTCTGCGAATTTGGTAAGATCGTTTAGAAAGCCAAGGAACAGTAACTTTTTTCGCTGGCGAGTCACATCCTCCAAGTCACAGTGTTGTTAAACAGACTCTTGTGGCTTTTTATAGGGAGAACGCTTGCTAAGCGAAAACCCACCACCTCCTGAAACATTGCCACCGAACCATTGGCTGGAACGAGATTAACCCGAACCAGCCAACTGGCACCGCGAGGAGGTTATTTGGCGAAGCATGTTGTGTGCGATTCACTTGGCTTGAAGACGCTTTTGCGTCAAAAGCGTAACGTAGCTACAATAAATACCTAAATGATCGATTTGTATTCTAAGACTTCCAGACCTATTCCGAGTTATCGATTGGACAATTTATCAATACTGCTCGCATGCAGATAAACCAGCTATACAAAACATGTTGGAACTAAACGGTGCAAGCATGGTAAAATATGATAATGTTTCCATCTCGCGAAATCCCGCAAACTTAGTTACGACTTTTCGGCGTTGCTCGTTCGTAGCAACGCGCTACACTACCGATTACCTCATCTGTCGACCTCTTCACAGGTGTACAGTTGACACTGGGACTAGAACCCGAGAGGCAGTGGTCAACAGCTGAATCCTTGATCAGTTGGCCATTTAACACCTTAAAAAGTCATGAAACAGCTGAGTGCCTTTATGAGTAAAGCTTCGATTATCAACCGCCACTCCGTCGTGCTTAGACCTGCTTTCGACCAGTTGGGAGCAAGGTGGGCATGACATTCAAGTCTTGGAGCCCCTGGGCGTGAGTGACCACTGGATGATCATAGCCAGCTTGGAACTGCCGCTGCCGTATTCGCACCCGCTGGAGCCAGCCTTCAGCTATTGGAAGGCGGACTTTAATGGCGTCACTCGAGCAGCAAGTCAGATGGACTGGTCATTACCACAGCATTCGTCTATCGAAACCTGTTGGACTATCATTAAAGAGGGAGTGAAATTGTTGTGTACCCAATTTGTACCTGTTGCGGGCACGTCAAATATTCCCGCAAAAACGCGCCAGAAACCCCAGCAGAATGGCTGTGGAAAGCGAGGGCCAATTCCTCCCCACAACGCAGCAGAGCTCAGCCACTCCGAGACGCGGCCCAAACTGCGCACCTTCTGACAATGGTCATTTACAAACTACCACCTCTTCGTGGTGACAGTTTCCTTAACTTAATAACCCATAGCACTCTCTGTGATTGCCCTTTGTCGGTCGTAAAAGAGCCTACAGAGGACCACTTGTCTTTTCTTTCTCTTCGCCTCAGTTGGGAGTCGGTCGGATCGCGTGATTGCGTGTGAGTCGTTAGCTGGCCAGCCTTCGCGTCTAAGTCGTTAGCGCGCGTCTATCGTACCCCCTCTCGTGTGCGCCCGTTCCGAGGGGTCAGCGTCTATCCGAACACTTGCGGCTAAGATCGGTCACACGCTCGCTCAATTTTCCGTCTCACCCGGCTAAGCTAGCGTCATCAGGCCAGCGCAACTCCGTTCGATTGGCCAGCGTTAGAAGCAATTATCGTAGGCGTGCTCCAATCGGGCCGGCGACAATCTTATCAGGTGTTACGCAATCCATATCGACAGGCGGCGTTCCCTCAATTATAACAGCGGCGACGACTAAGGCAATCTACGCTACGTCAATCTATAACAGTACCCCTCAAGCGTCGGAAACTTGAGCAGGTCAAGCCACATTGGTTCGACAAGAAGTACATCAACCTGACCGACTACGACGCAGACTATGGAACAAAATCCTGTTATCTGGCTCTAAGGGGTGTACAAGACGTACGAGGCACTATGAAATCTCTGCAAAACTTGAAAACAAAAAGTGCAGAAGCTTCGAAGAGCAGCGTGCAGCCGCCGCAGGAACTGCTCCTAAGAGGAGCTTCGTCTACGTAAAGCAGTGCCCGTGGACTGCAACCTATGTGCCAGTGTTGGGAGGCTCTGATGGACAGCCCCTAACATTGAGTACAGATCATGCATCCGCATTGGCGGCACGCTTTGCTTCCGTATTTGCAATTGACCAGGTGTCTGTACTGAGTTCGACGAGTGCCACCCCCGCTGAACTAGACAGCCTGTATTGCAGTACTGAAGATGTACACAAGCTGCCGGCAAGTCTTGAAGCCTGCCAGACCAGATGGGCCCACCCACTGATTTTAAAGTTTCTGTCGGCCATCATCTTGCTTTCTGTAACTGGGTCATTATCTACTGGTTTATTGCCGGACGACTCATAAATGCTCAGTCGTAAAGCCAATGCCAAATGTTGGTGACCCAAGCAAAGTGGAAAACTACCGGCCGATCTGCCTGACCGCTGTTTTGGCAAAGAAGCTTGAGAAGAGCGTGAGGAAATGTCTTCTGCAGCTTCTTGAGTTAAAAAGCCTCTTGACGCCTGCACAGCATGATTTCGTGAAAGCTTGCTCGTGCATCACCAACCTACTGTTAACGAGGCACGAATGATTGCAAGCGCTAAGCCAAGGCAAGTCGTTCTACCTCATTTACATTGACCTCAGTAAGGCTTTTGACAAGGTAACTCATAAAGTGCTCCTCAGAAGACTGAGGGTGTGTGGTGTTGGCGGCTGGCTTTATCGATGAATAGGGAATTTCCTTGTTAGTCGAAAGTGACAACCATTTGACGGAGTGTCATCCAGCGTGCAGTGGAGTGCCCCAAGACACTGTACTGGGGCCCATTTTGTTTCTGATCCATGTAAACGATGTACCTTAGCCATTCCGCTCACCTTGTGCGTTATTCGCAGATGACTTGGGGGTGTGGAGTGTAATCCGAGTACCCAGTGACTGTGACCTTCTTCAGCAGGACATTAACCGCGTCTCCACATGGTCTGCAGAGGTCAACATTCCGATAAATCTGGTCAAGTCGCAATTCATGATGAGGCTGGGTAAATGTGAGCACAGGCGAACCTACACGGTGGCTGGTCAACCGTTGTATTCCGCGCCTTTTGTGCGGGACCTCGATGTACTCTCACGCTACGACCTGAAGTCCATGGACAACAGGAATGGGATTTACCAAAACAGCCTTCGTAGGCTTTGGGCCCTCAGGCGCAGCTTCAGCACTTGGTCCGAAGAGATGGCCACTCGCCTCTTCGTCTCAATAATACAACCACTGATAGAGTATGGCTCTCCGGCGTATTGTCCCATCACCCGGGGAAAGGCAGAAGATTGAGCGAGTGCAGCATGTGACCACCAGGCTGATTCCCAATTTAAGAGGTGTGCAGTAGGAATACCGGTGTTAGAAACTAGTGCTTTGTACCCTGGCTTATCGCCGACTGCGGGTTGACCTCATTATGACACACCGGAGACTACATCACACTGAATACCCCAGGCTGAGACAGCTGCGGCATCTGCACACACCAAGCAGCACACGAGGTCACCGGTACAAACTTGTAGTACCGGACTCGGAGCCGGTCGCTCACGAACTCTGTTGTGAACGGAGAGTGGTGAATATATGGAACAATTTGCCGCAGCACGTATTTGTGGTAACGTCGGTGTCGGAATTTAAGAACTTCCTGGACAAACACTTCGCCGATGTAAAATATATCGAGCGCACTCCAACCTAACGGGTCTTTGTACCTGAGTGATATTAGTTGCAGCTACACAGAGATATCTCTTCTTGCTGCTTCCAACGTGTAAGCAGTAATCAGTAATCTCAGGTACCATAAAGTTTAACATTTTCTGATACTCGAATCAACAGAGGGAGAATAGATCGTATAAAGTAATGTTGAGAGCGACTAAGGCAAAAAAATCTCTATTTGTGTGTACTTCTAGTAATCAAACTAGCCGGAAATAAATGAACAGCCGATCGTCGCATAAATTAATGTAGAATGTCGCACTGCAATCATTACAAAGTAGGTGATCCATAAACCAAAGTAAATCGTAATCTCTTATTCAGGAGTATAAAAGTGTGAGCTATTGGACCGGAATCAGGTATACTCGTCTAAGCGCTTCTGCCCGCATTAGTTACATAGTGTCCCATGTACATATCATTGGAGATAAGGCTCCGTGAGTTCCCCGTTTATTAAACAGCTGTCTGCGAATAAGCTAGCGGCGGAAATTACTGAAAAAGTTCCGTTGAACTCACCAAGTGATGTTTTTCATTAAATCGAACTATATATATATATATATATATATATATATATATATATATATATATATATATATATATATATATATATATATCGCTGCTTTTGGGTTGTCAGTCGATTAGTCTGGAATGCTGTGCCGCAACACCTGGACGATTTGCATGATACTCGCACGATGCTATCGATTCTTGTCAATGCCGCTTCTGAAGATACCATCTATGGAGATTAATTCACAGAAACATGTGGAGAAAGATACTACGGACTGGCAATCACCGACTACTGGCTGACTTATAAATATGTGGACGAACGTCAGCTATATTAATATGATGTTTCCACTATATCCGTGAGAGTATTTACAAAAACCGACACCGGTAAATTCAAGGTCTTCAGCAGTTTTAGATGAATTTTAATTAGAGATTGTCCGTTTTGGCCAAGCATAGTGGTTAACTAGTTAGATTAATGGCCCACAACCTAGAGGTATTTAGCCCTGAAGGCGTAACATGAAATTTCACTGGGGGTAAATATAAATACGGGGATTGGGTTATCAACCAGTTGCCAACAAATTACTGACAAAATGTTTTGTATCAACACGTGTAACTAACTAGTTAATCACTGTTGATTAACCATCAGTGACTAATCATCAGTGAGTGATTAGTGAATTAGACCATTTCCGGTAGTAAATTTTAATACCTATAATACGAATACGAGTAGACAAAGGAGTGCATCAAGATGACGCATCTATTGGCTCACACGTCGAGCGTTGTTAATTTTGGGTCAGGCAGTCGTCCGCCGGATTGAATTACAGAGTAAAGTAAATATTAAGTTGGCAGCATTAATCAGCCGGTCAGGTTAAAGAGCGGCCGAATGTCTGCAAGGCAGAAGAGATAAAACAGGCAATCAGTGTATAGGACGTATCAATAAAAATGTCCTGGTAGAAGGGATGTTTGAAAAAATGAGAATCCACTGTTATCAGTCCATATTTTATCACGGATCACAGACCAAAGCACGGAACCGAAGGAACGTAAGCTGTGAATTAGCCGAAACGTTACCAAATACACCAGAACTGGCTGTCGCATTAACATACCTCCGTACTTGGTTTAATAAAATTGCTGAACAAGGTGTTTTCCTTATTTAAGTGATAAAAATTACATAAGAATAGTATTTAAGTCTCCTAATTCAGAGCAAGGAATGCGATGGTTAAGAACTAAGCAGCTTGTTAAACTAGCCATTTAGGGGGGGGGGTAATTGATTTTAGTGAAACAGCTTTGTGGGTAATGATATCAATAAGGTTGATAACCACTGACCTAGATTCATGAGCTTTTGCCCACTTCTACAATCCGAAAAGGTATAACACTTGGTACGGAGAGATTAAGAGTGAAAAATACCAATACTACACTTGTCAGGAGCGGCATTGATTTCACTACCAATACGGGAATATTTTGCCCAACTCATCACTGTTTGCCCAAGTATTGAACTTAATCCAACTCTGGCAGAACCTGCGTAACGGGACTTCAATAGGAACACCGTGGTATGCAAAGTAATGTGGACTAAGCCGAATTGACATGAATACCTATTATGCAGTTTGCAGCCTAAAACCAAGAAAACTTCTGAGTAGTCGAATTTCTTGTTTGTAAGTTCTACTTAAATTCGCTGCCTACTGAGCCGTCCAACCAATATTTGTTCCTTACACTTTATGTTACCTGTAATGTCAAGTGTATTCGCAGTCTCCCCAACTGGTATTAGCTGATTTTCGCTATTTCTCACGTTTCAGGGTTCAGACTGGCGTACAGCTACTTGCGAAACCGTCAGTTTGTTGAAGCGATTGAAGTGTGCTTACAGGTACCATTTTTCCCACTTGACCCCAAACTGATCTCAGCACTTTATCTTTATGAGCTAACGCATACTTGGCTGCAACCGTGAAGAGTGTCTGTCTTCACATTACCATTGTCTTGGCGTCTTCAATAACTCTGTGCCAAATTGCCTCAGTCACAAAAAATGCGGATGAAGGGGTATCCGTTTTCTTGTGTCAGAAATAGTGATATGTACCACTCCAATGGCGGAAAAATTACTGGAATTCGATTGTATTTATCGATGACAGTACAACGTATTATTTATAGCGTATATATTGATGTAGTACCACTCCCTTACCGTAGTTTGCAATTAATTCCAGACACACACGTTGGTACAGCATATCAGGTACTTGGAGAATAAGTTAGTTGTTATCCGTCGTCATTACTATAAAAGACGAGTTCCCTTGTTTTAATATTACTCAGTATCTCTTCTTGAACCAGACAATCGTATTTCTACTCAGAATCTCACCCACACACGCGCGTGACGTGCGTGCTCCTGGTTCATTTGGATTATTTCCCTCTGTCCGCTCTCCATCTTCTCGCAGCGTTGTCACTGCACGCTCATACGAACCGGATTTACCAACCCTACACAGTAATCTGTCATATGTAGAAATATCTTCTACAATTAGAGTCTGTGCCATCACTAACCATTTTCACTGTCATCCGTGATTAAGCGCAAGCGGATAAGTCAGTCACATCGTTAGATTGCCTTTCTGTGACACCATTCGATACGGAATTCTCGAGGCAGACCGAAAAGCCTAAGCTTATTCCGATCCAGCGAAAGAATTTGTGATCTCTCAATCTGGGTTCAGCGCTGTGTTCAGATTCAGTTAGCAGATTCCAGTCGCTCGCCATTCCTTGGGACCTTGTCACTCAATGCGCCTGCATAACCCGTCACACGAACCGCGCGACCACGCCGACCGCTCATTTGACCTTGCAACCACCCCGCTCGCATGATCGATGTGGGCACCGCTCTCAAAGTCGGAAAAGTACAGAACGCTAACCAACCCGCTGGGTCGGGTACTGACACAACGTTAAATGGCAGAAATGCGAATCCGAAAAGGCTCCAAGCGAAAGGCATTTGCGAGTTAGAAGAATGTCATCGAGTAGTTAACATCAGTCTGGCTTGCTCGCACTGTTTGGAATGACATCATCCGAAATGTGCAGCTGTGTCCCAACAACAGATACGGGAGCGAAATAGCTCCCAAGATGCATTTTGCTTCTGTACTGCGTGTTCCACCATCCCCTCGTTAAGTGCTTGCTTATCCTAGCTCGGAAATGAGACCGGTTAACCGCAGAAGCAGAGCAGAGGATAAACGATAAGATTACTTCAATGGAAGCGAGTATGCACCACAGAAGCGTAGCAGCTTCTAAGCAACGGAACGCTGAACAATCCGCTTCCCCCGAACTGCAATCAGCCACGTCTTCATCTCCGTTGTCTTCTCCAAGTTTGGTAGAACGCCGGGCGGAAACAGACAGCACCTACGACAGTCAAACGATACCCATGGTAACGAAAATCAGGCACCACTGGAAACGTCTGGTTAGGCAACTTCCACTACACCTGACATCTAGCATAACAAAAATAAAGCAACCGAATACTAACCTTCGGTACCTGTAGCTCGAATGCATCTTGTCGAGGTAAAGCCCCCAGTAACCTTCAGTTACATATGCAGAGGTTACTACAATGGTCCGCAGGGAGACCGCCGTTGCGGCCTCTTCTGTTGTAAGCACCGTTAACGCGAACAGAGTGACAAACAGTAAACAGTCAACACTTGTCAGCAGGTTAGGACAAACAATTACCCTACCTTGTAGATCAACAAAAAGGGATCCAACAATAGTGCCCGAACTGTTGGATGCTCAAAAGTCCCTGCATCTACCGTCATTACATTGCGCGATAAGCTATCGGATGACCAAGACCAATAGAACTCATTGTGCGTGCTGATCAGTGTCAAAGCCAAGCCCATAAACTTATTACTAATTACTCGTCATCCGAACTCTCCACAGTATGGAGAACCCAGGCTTATTCCAGTAACAGTAAAATCCTCCACCAATGTAGAAAATGTTTTGTTCTCCGCAAGCGCGCTAAAACACGGATCCTGTAAGATACGCATCTATTCTGAGGTCCCTTGGAGCGCGCAACAATCAGAAAGCAACAGAAAAGAGGGACACAGCAGCCAAGACGGTCAAAACACAATCTCCAGACATGACATGCCAGCATATCCTTCTAACGATATTCAATAGACCTCAAAGCACGATTTAGAACAGTGACAGTTCATCCGTGAAGCACTTTCTTTGGATAATATTGTGGCGCTATTGCTTACCAAGATATCTCTCTCACCAAAGTATAGAAGATGCGGTCCTAGAATCCTAAAACTTCTGGTTCAGTCAGAGCAACAAGCAACAGATGTTTTGGATCGATGGTTGAGAAATAGAAAATCTCTTCCTTCTGAACTTCAGTTAAATATCGCAGAAGTTTTGCACAGCTCAAATATTAAAGCATCTGAAGCAACAAGCGTACCGACTAATGTACAGAAGTGTAACTTGACTGCTGCTTTAACTGACTCTGACGTAGGACTAAACAAAGGTTGGGACGTACCATGGCCGAATCAATTTGCAAACGAGGTATCATTATCCAATCAAAAAGGAATAACTGCCGACCTCCCATCGGTCGGCATTCTCCCACATTTAACCCCTCTGACCCTCTGTGGGTTCCTAGAGACCGAGAAACTGGTCTGCTTGTATACAAACGCTCAGGGTCTTTTTAATATACAGGTCGAACTGAAAGATCGGCAAGCTTCCGGGTCATGTGACGTCATTGGTATCACCGAGACGTGGTTGCACACTGGAATGACGGACGCTGAAGTTTCGCAACCGGGCGTGTCGTTGATCCTGAACGACAGGCTCACAAAAGGAGGGCTTATCCTGTTTAACCGAAGCAACTTACAGTGCGAAGCCGTGGAGGATTCAGACTCGCAATTCCCCGACTCTTTTTGGTGCCGCTTGCAGTTAAAGCGCAGGGACGCTTGCCTTATTGCCCTAGTGTACCGCCCCCATAACTCTACGCCCGAAACCGACTGCGATCTTGCGGCTGAGTTAAGATGCAGTTTACGATGAAACTACACTCACATTCTTATCATGGGTGATTTCAGCGTACATGGTTTTGAAGCCCCTGCCACGATCGGAGGAGAATTCAAAGCCGATCAACAAGAGCTCGTAGCAGCAGTTCCACTTTACAACTACATCACTTTGCTCACTCGGTTCAGAACGGTTAACAGGCCATCTGTGCTGTATCTTGTGCTTACCAACGAGGAGTATATGATTAAAGTGTTTGTTTTAGACTGCCCGTTGGATCGTAGTGATCATGCAGTCATCAGTTTCAACTTCGTCTGCTATGCCGAATATCGGAATGAGAACAATGCGACGGTGCGAACCATCAGGAGCTACGTTCGCTTAGCTCAGCTCGTCAAGACTACAACTTGGTCGTTCCTTGCCGAAGAACCCCCGAAGTTGCCTGTCTCGAGTTCGTCAACAAATTCAGTCAGCTGATTACAGAGGCTTCAGAGATAACAGTTTGCAATAAGTGCACATCAGTTTCTTACGTAAGCAGAATAACTCGAAAATGGATGACAGTACGTAAAGCATCATGGCGAGGGTACAGAGAAGCTCCAACACTAGAAACTTAGGAAAAATATGTAGCCCAACCTAACAACTGCACGCAAATGCGCAGAGAAGACAAAGCCGCCTATCAGCAGAACATCGCAAAAACCTTCAGTGCTAACCACAAACTGCTATACAAGCACGTTAATAGCCTACGAAATGGGAGGCAAGGATTTCCTCCACTCAGCACGGCTGATGGCTTAACAAGAACTGCTGTGGAAGCAACAAACGCGCTGCGGATGCAAATGCCCCCAAGTTTCAGAGAGTCTTGCCACCAAACTATCTTCCAGTCTTTGTCGCCTCCTCGCCAGGACTAACCCATATCATTTTGATCGCGGAGGCTCTATTGCAAAAGCTGACGTCTCTACGTAAACACAGCTCGCCGGATGTTTACACCATTTGTCCAGAGGCACTAGAAGTAGCAGCAAGCCAACTGGCAGGAACTTTAGCTCCGTTTTTCCAGCGCTGCTTAGACCAGAAGCAAGTTCCTGCTATGTGCAAACTTGGAATAACAACTCCGATTTACAAATGTGGCAGCAAACCTGATCCGTCCAACTACCGCCCAGTATCCATTCTTCCTATGCTCTCCAAGGTCATGGAATCCATAGTAGCCGATGCACTGGTGTGCTATCTAGAAATGTGTAACATCAACACTCCTGAGCAGCGTGGTTTACGTCAGCAACGGTCATGTACGACGAATTTACTAATCGCACGCAGTGGTTGGATCGAGGCAGATGATGCTGGAGAAAACGGCGATGTGATCTACCTGGATTTGTCGAGGGCTTTCGAACGTCTAAACCATCGGATAATACTCTCCAAGCTCCAGGATTACATGATCGGCGACCCTCTTTTAAGCTAGATTGACAACTTTCTACTTCAACAACAGTTAACGGTCAGAGTTCGGAGCTCTCTGTCAGAACCCATACAAGTCGTGTGGTGTGCTGCAAGGTTTAGTTCTAGGTCCACATCTGCGTTTTGTGTGTATTAATAACGTTGCACAGGGAATCGCTTCAAAGTTCCTACTGTTTGCCGACGATATCAAGATTTGGCGTAGGATCCAGGCGAACGCCGACTAGCATCTGCTTCAGAGTGAACTAGATAGGGTATATTAATGGCCGATCCAAAACTTACTGCATTTCGACATCAGCAAATGCAAGTTGCTTTCCATCCGACATCAGAGCAATTACTCATACCGACTCGGAACATATATACTACAACAATCAACCCTCGGACGTGACTTGGGTGTCCTGGTTCAAGGTGACTTGGGTTACTCCGAGCAATCCGAAAAAGTCTCGAAGACTGGGAACCAACACGAGCGGTTGTTGCGACGGA